AACTTTCTAAAAAAAAAAAAAAAAAAACTGGTACACTGTACAATGTGACAAATAATTGTTGGTTATTTCGAGGGTTACCAATTATGGATACACTTAAGTGTTCTGTTTATTTAGTTTACTAGCTGATGCAATGAGCAGGTGTTATGTTACCTATCTATTATGATGGTACGTACCATTAAATAGATCTTGATCTATCTGAGAGCTTTAAAATTCTACCAAAAAAAAAAGTTTGAAACAAAAATGAAAATTTCTATTCCATTGTAGCCTTAATTCATTACCATACACAATTTTTGTACATTCCAAAATTTGGAAAGAAGAAAGAAATCATTTTTAAATTTCAATTCTATTTAACTTTTTTCCCTTAAATATGACTGATATTCCGCCTTATTTTGTTTATTATTCCTTTTTACTGTAACACAAATGTGTTCATAGAATTGCTATTAACAATTGGAGAATTAAAATCAATATCAAATGATATATTAGTGAAAGTATCTCTGGGATAACTATACTTAGCACTTTTAGGTGTTGTTAGACTTTTAAACTAAAAATTAGATAGACTAGTTTGCTTTGTTTGATAAATGAAAAAAATTTTTTTTTTCTTCCATTAATTTTTCATTGAAAAACGTGAATTATTGAATGATTCCAATAACATATCTTCCGCTAGACAATTGCGCCCGAAATTCTGATCTTATTCTGATGGATTGGATCAAATCTGACATTTGAATTGATTTTTGACAAAAATAAGATGATGATGCCTTATGTGCTCGAACGAATACAATAATAGATGATCAGGATAAAGGATAGGTAACGGGGATCCCAGCTGCTCTATTGTATATTTCCCTTTCTGAGTGGATTATTAAGGAGTCGAGTGAGGCCTCATCTAATAACGTCACCAAATCATTTCAGTTTTGTCGCAAAATGAATTATGAATGTCTGTAATTATATAATACTGTGAAACAATTATGACATTTAATGATTGAGAATAAAAAAGTTGATGTGATAATGATAATCATTGATAATCAGTGATGACGTTAATAGTGATAAAATATTATAACGATAATATTAGCAAGAAATATCGATGACAATTGCAACCTGTATGTGTTCTTTGATGAATTTTCAAATTTTCACTCCTTGCAAAAACTTTTGAGCACATTGTACATGGAAATGGCCTTTCACCCGTATGTACTCTGATATGATTGACAAGTTTATATTTTGCCTGAAAGATAAATTTCATTGTGAAAAACTACTTCTCTATATTCTTCATTAAATCAGTCAAAAGAATGAAACTTTTCCTATCCCTACGTGATTTTAATTCTTCCTAATACCTACATATTCTCTCTCTTATATCTCTTTATTTATGCATCATTTTGAGCGAGTGACCTTCGTCGCTCGAGAGGTCCTACAGATGAACTATCAGTAATCTGAATGAGACATTAAAACCTCCTCCTCCCTATCTTTTATCCATTTCCAATTAAATCCTATTCATTTTACTGTTACACGGTCTTAAACAATCTTTCAGTCTATATTTTCTTTACTTGAAACTTTAAGGGAATTTATCCCGCTAATATGAACCATCGAGATTTCCTTAATCGGATTTCAAGATGAGCTCTGATATAAAAGAAATCGTTTATCATCTTTTAATGTAATAAAATAAATCATATTTTACTTTAAAAATTTTTCCCCTTCTTGAGCAATCTTTCCATTGACAGATATGGAAGGCGCTTTCTGACACACCCACATGTTCATGTTGCAGATGGGATACGATATGTTCGATTGAGTAGAACAATCGACCGCATATCCTATTGCGCTGCAGTATTTACAAATAAGCTCAAAAAAATTCAAATTAATTTTGAGAATTTCTAAGGCAAATTTAAAATTTTAACCGAACCCTTATTGTTGAGATTTATTATAGTTTCTGAGAGAAGAAATATGCCAACGAAATCGTACAAAATTAATTTTGATCACGAAAAATAAAATTTCAGGATAATGAAATGAAATCATTATCCAAAAATTAAAGGATATGATTTTTCATAAGTATTTCTCGATTATAGTACCAACTTCAACCCATTGACATTGAATTGGATTCTGGAGGTAGTTACCACTTGGTGTACCGGATGTCATCGATTGCATAGCGAACGGGAAATGCGGATAATGAGGTCGAACAAACGGATGTGATGAGCATGCATGACCGAAAAATGCTTCAGGGTCCGGCTTAATAAGATTATACGAATAATCGGTTGCTGTAGATGGTGGTGCAGAACTGAACAGGCATGAATTTTGCATAAGTGGAGTTTCGGATGCAAAATACATATCTGGCCCAAAAGTAGCTCCACGTGGCCCATAACCATTTTCTGGAACAAGAAATCAATCCAAAATTTAACACTAGTAATTAATTTATTAAATTTCATAATTATATGAATGCATGATGGAAATTTCAAAAATTTGTTGAGGAGTAAAGCAAGAAATACCATTTTTGATAAATAATTGCTGTCCAAACGCAGATTGCGATGGTACCATAGATTGGTAATAACTCCCCGGATTATAACCATTTCCAGGAATGATTGAGTTTCCAACTTCCTTCTCCGGAATATTTGGAAATTGGGCAGGTCTAAAAATATGTAAAAAAATATGAAATAAACCAATCCGTATAAATCTTAGCTTATGTGTTACCGTAATTTACAATAAGAAAACACATGAATACAATAATCTTACTGTTTTTTAAAAACAATATTTTAATCCATTTTATTCCACACTTGTTTACAACTCTATGATTAACTGCCGGAGTAGTTGCAATATCCGGCAGTCCCATATTTAATGGTTTTCGATTGTTCCCAATTAAGCCTTATTAATAACTTGGCTATTCTTGGCCCTATCCATCGGTTCTAACATTTTTTACATAATTTTTGCATAAAGTAATTCCAGAATTTTTACAACTCTACGACAAAATAAAATTATTTTATTTTTCTCTTATTAAAATGCAACAATTTGATACTTTAAATAAATATTCCACAAAATTCTGATTTCGAGCAATACGAATTTATATAATTTAAATACATTCAACCGACAATTTTTTGAAATCTTAAAGTTAAATTTTTAATTGGAAAGCTTAAAATATGAAAAAATAAATAAATGAAACACTGATTTGAGGATAAAACTGATAGAACCTTTAAACAAATTGGCTAAGATGTTTGTTTTTAAAAAACCAGTAAACTGTATAATAGCTGAGGCTTAACCACAATAAAGTTCATCCCATAAGACGAAGATTTTGTTACGGTATCGTATTTGAGTAATAAACCTCTTTTACTTTCTTTTTTTTCTTCTTTTCGCTTTATTATAAAGCGATAAAATGGCTGAAGGCGTTTAATGATAAAAGTAATTTTAAAATTTAACAGAATAGGAAAAAAACAAATTCTTGAGTTGATGCTTATAATTTCATAAACTTAGGTTAGGGAATGAAAAAGAACTCATACCCGGTCGGTAGGTGGCTTGTAACGTTAAATGATGGTAAAACGGTTGGGGATGGGGAAGCAATGCCGGGTGCGCAATTGGTGGCCGGTTGATGATGCTGCTGTGGATGTTGGTATCCTGGAGTGAGCATCAACGAGGGCTAGCGATTTTGTGATAGTTGCCTAGAGGAGAATAGTTTGACTTGTAGTAGACCACCTCAGGATCATGAAAACGATTAGAAGCTCGGCGGGGCGCAGTTCACTCCACAACATAATTCTCCTGTTGCTCGGAAATAGCAATCACGTCTCTCTGGAGGAAGGAAATGCTCTTACGTTTTCTATTCGCCACGCCTTTTTCCTACCCACAGCTATCGTAATCCAATCGAGCAACCAATGGATTCTAAACCGTTCGATTCATGGATTGCAAAAGCGGTATGGAAGTATGAGAGAATTGTGACAATAAATTGGAAAGGTGGAGCGATATGAACAATTAACTGAATTTATAGATTTTCAAGCTGTCATCAAGAAATTCTTTGAGAAACAGAAGGCGGAGAGAGAATGAAAGGAGCGGAAATGAAACTACCATCTGATAACTTCACCTTGTAAACTCAACTTTGCAGTCAAAATTCTATACTTTGTTACTTCTCTCCTCTTTACTTCGTTTCATTAACAGCTAATATTATGGCAAAAAAGAAAATCGGATTAATCAGCAGATCGAATCCTTACGACTAAAATTCGGAAATGGAATCCGGAATAGTTGCATGCATTGACATTACCTCATAATCAATATATATCTAACAAGTGAACTTCTTGTTTGTTATTTTTTAAGCTTTTTTTTTCACAAAATTTACGATACAATTTTATTTATAATTTGTTTTTCACTGAATTTTTGTTTAATTTCAAAGACTTATCGATTTTCCATACTTCATAAATTGGACTTTTTCTTAAGTTAACAAATAAAATGATAGAAATTTTGAAAGAACTTACCGTTGGAGTTTGGTACCATGATGGAAGGAGGAATATGAGAATCCAAATATCATTTTTCTTTTTCAGAACTTTCTAACTTTCAATTGCTACAATGAAATTTTAATGAGAAATAGAATTCTCTTTAGCATATTTGTAAAATCCTAAAAAATGGTAAGGAAGTAAAATTTTATCTCATTTTTTAAAATATCCGTTGACCCAGTTTATAGCTTTTTAATGCATTAAACTTCCTTAGAATTTCAGACCTATTTTGAAAGTAATATTCGTTAATTGTAGAGTAATTAAATTAATAATTTCTCTGTGATTTCCATTTTTTTTTCTTTTGCAAATTTCATACACTAACTATTTTTTCGGAAATTTGAAAAAATCGCTTAAAATTATGTATGAAAACTGTTTTTAATTTTCATACACAGTTAGTTTTATAATTCTTACAACGATTGATTCTATGGAAAAAAAAACAAACAAAATTTAGTGATATTTTCTTAAATTGATTACGATTTGGAAATTTTGAATATTATTTTAATTTTAGTATGCCAAAGTAAAATTAAACGGTGCAAAAATCAATTCAAATTCTCACCATATAAGTGATTCTGTATAAGGACAGAATCCGTTTAAATGAAAATTATCATTATTATGAATTTATGCCAGATAATTTCAGATAACGTTTGAGCGATGAATGATTAATTGGATAATATTGATAACACCAAAAGTGATAATAAATTTTATAAGTTTTTAATGCTTTCTTCATTTACAAATTTAATTCATTCAAATTCCTAAAATACTGCGTAAAATTTTTATTTTAACAAAATAAGCGGGGTAAAATTAAAGAGAAGTGTAAAGTGATACCAGTAGTTATGATGATAATCGGGGTTGACATTTGTGTATACAGCAGATCAAAGCTTTCATGACTACTGAAAGGTTACTACTGTTGGTTGTGATGATATTGCGGATGATACGAATGATGTGTAGAGATGATAATGACAGCAATGATCATAGTAATGATAATAATACAACCTGTCTTGCAAATATATCACACTATTTGCAATAAGGGCGACACGCGACTCCGCTCTCATATCAACTTGTCACCCAGCGTAGTGTTAAGTTGTAATTTACATTCCATCAGCTAGTAATCTTTATATACCCTCTTCTCATCACCATCATCATTATTATTATCACCAACATCGTCATTCTTGTCTTCAAAGTAAATATCATCATTATTTTTTCAGTTTAATTATACCAGTTTTATGCTAAAATTCTTTTTTCTTATATTTTAAATTTGAAATCCACAAAATTTCGATAAAATTTTAAAGAAAGTCCAAAAATTATATTTTTTTTCGCATTTTATGTTCAAGTTTTATCATAATAAAATTTATGCGAGTAAATCAATCAAATTGTGTTCGAAAGATCATTTCCCATTAATATAAAAGATTTGCTTGGATTATTTTTAATTTGTGATTTATGTCATTTTAAATTGCAATATGACATCGAACAATTACTGCCAATGTCATTTTTGACAATCAAATAGCTTCTTGTCACAGTGATAAACAAAACAAATGCTGAAATGGATTTATTTCTGCAAAGTCCTAATATTTTCATTTTTTATCACTTTGTAGGTGTAAAAGTGATAAATAATATCTGAAATTCGGAACTTTTTTGAAATCAAACTTTATTTATACTGTTTTCATCTTAAAATACATCACCTTTGCTAATTCTTTTCTTTTTACCATCTTTTTTCTCTCTTCCTCTCTCTCTCTCTCTCTCTTTCTCTCTGTTGAAATTAACAATATCTTGCAGCTATTGAAAAGTTCGATTTCATTGACTTAATTTGAACGATGCTCATTTGTGCTCATCGCCTACTGTGACGAAGAATTGACGGAATTGCGCAATGATAACCAGTTATTGCATAACGATTAGTTGTTGTTGCTGGTGTTACTGTTATTCAATATCCACTCAATTTGCACTTATTCAGGTCAACTGTTCACAGTAATTAAACATTTCTTTCATTCTCTTTCACTTTACTTTAAAATAAGGAAGAGTATTCTTTAATAATGATAACGATAATATTAGCAACCAACCGTTCATTCCTTTAATTTATTTTGTTCATTGAAGATTTTCATTGGTTTAATTGTTCAAATTTATGGCTGAATTCAACAAAAACAGCCATAATTTCAAGATTAGATAATTTTGCTTATTAATAAAGTTAAAAATGAAGTAATATACCAATGCTTCCAGCATCAAGAAAGACAGTAACATCGTCTTCTCCATAATTTGTGGATCAATCAAATGCGGTAAATTCTTATGATAATTACAAAAGGTCACTCATTGATTTACCGACATATTTATCCAATCATTTATAAAATGACAGATGAATGAATGATTGAAAGGGTTTTCTTTTTTTTTTTTTTTTTTTGTAAATTATGAAAGTGAGAGGGTTTTTAGCTGATATTGGATACCAATTGAAAGAAAAATTTTAGCTATTACAATGACTTATCATTCATTCTTAGTGAAGGTACGGAAAAAGTCAGAGGTTAAAGGTCGAACGTAGATATTGAAAGAACAGGGAAAAAGAAATGAATAACCTGACCGGTTCATTCAACAGTTCTGTATCTGTGTCCAACAATGCAAATAATGTAATTGATGGAAAAGTAAGCAATGTTATGTGCAAAACAAATATGATAAAATATTTCTCAAGATTAATTTTGTATGTTTTGTTTACAAAGCACAAAAAATTGTTTACTTCTATAAATGATTGTTTGAGAATTGAAATTGGAATTGGAATTGGAATTTATAGGGATAAAATTAAGGTTTTAAATGTTTTTGACATGACATTAAGGCCTAAAAGTTTACATACTATTATATCAAATCATATTTATTCGTACTACTATGATAAATTCATATTTATAAATTATAAAACGAAATGTTAATATTACTGAGAGTTCGGTAGATTGGAAATTTTGGTTGCTTGTTGTTAGTCAATCTATTTGATCAAGAGATATCTGAGGTCATCAGTTTTTGAACATTTTTTTTTCATCAAATTAATTGGAAATTTTTAATTTTAAAGCTGCTGATGAGCTTCATCACACTTCTATCGTGTTTGCTTTCATAATGGAATAAATTTTAGTTCTTCAAATTTTTTGAAAAAAATTTAAATTTTGCTATAACTTCAATTTGCATAAAATTTATTTTACTTGAAAAATGCAATATTATCCATTTATCAAATGCTAACAACCCAGTATATTAGAAATCCAATTAGTATAAAATAAATTCTATTCATATGTATTCAGGAGTTTGAAAGTTCTTTCTCTTAAAAATTAGCCTGAAATTTCAAAATTGTGTTTTATGTTTGGAATAAATATGCAAAATACTAAATTTCAAATCAATCGAAAATAGATTTTGCAAGCTTTTTTATCTTGCTTGAAATGAAAAAATTAATGATATTATACTATTTGTATATTTATCTATCCATTAAAAACAATCTGTTTAATGAAAAAAAAAGAGACGCAAGAAGATTACGGTAGTGTTTTCGATAAGGAAAAGACAAATACTGGATCTGCTGATGAAGGTATAATCCTGTGGAGTAAAGCCGGACATTTAATCATCCTTCAGACAACAAATCTGTCAATCAATGCAGAAATTCACCAGATTTTGACACTTCAGCTAAAAACACCGTATAGTTACAAGTAGGACTGATGAAGTAACAAAATAGTGCAAAGAATCAAAGTTCAAAAATCATTTCTCTAAAAAAGATTTTGTTACTGAAACTTTTTAACGCTAAAAGTATTCCTTCCTGAAGTATACAAAAATTTTAACAATGTAGAATTTTTTGTTTTAAAACCATATATTTCACCACTATCTACATCTTTCTTTCTTTCTCTTTCCCCCTCTCCGAATGATCACAATTTCAACTATAAAAGAGAACCGGCTTGATCCTGTTTAACATCACTAAGATTTTGTATGAATCATTGCCATATAACGAGCGCAATGTGACTTGCATTTCTTTCAAACTCACAACGTATTTTGCTTGTTGTTAGCGCAAATGTATAAGCTAGTTCAATTCTGTATTATGTGATTTGCAAAATTTCAACTCTTTTAAACCAATATATTTTAGATTTGGTATTGAAGCGCAAATTCAATCGATGATTCATTCAATTCAGTTATTTCTTACTCTTCAAAATTGTCTCAGATTTATTTCCGTCCTCTGCACTCATTTATTCCATCGAGAATTTTGTTTGTAAAGAGAAGTTCAACAGTAGTAAAAAAAATGTTCTAAGTAAATTTTAATGAATCTAAATTGCAAATAAGAATCTCTCTCTCTCTCTCTCTCTCTCGTTCTCAAAAAACAACTGAACAGAAAAGAAATTGGATAATGGATTATGGCTACATTTCCGCATATATCCAGTCTTTTGCGCTTTAGTAGTTATTTCTAAATGAGCAAAATGTGTAAATGTATAGAAATTATCCAACTTTTTCTAGGCGGTAAACATCTAAGATGCGACTAATTTTTTTTAGTGATCTAAAAAGAATAGATTTCAGAATGGCTTGTTCTCTTCCATTCCATCATTCATATCTTTTTCAACACTTCATAGGGGGTAACTCTAATACAAGTTTTTTTATTTCTTTCCAAATTAACATATTGTCACCATCGGTACGACATTTGCAATCGTTGCAGTGCATTACAGTAATATGTAATGATACTATGAAGTGCGGTAACATCAAAGTGATACATCCATGTATGTATAACATCCAGTAGTTAAGTGGTCGATTAGCGAAATAACCTCGTCTTGTAAATTACTGTTAATCGAGGACAAATGGAATCAGTCACATTTGTTAGAGAAACCTAAATTCACACCTTCAACTTCGATATTCATTTGATGATGCCGACATTGATGCGACATTGTCAATGAGAGTAAAAAGTGTGAAGTGAAAATAAGAGATAGAGAGAAAGGAAGACTTAACGATGTGTAATTATAAATGGCTTTTATAGTAATAATAATAACTCATCCACTTACTTTAAGCAATCATTATTGCTAGTTTTAATATAAAGGTTTTGAAGGGTACATCTGAAATATTTGCAACAAAAAGAAGTGAGTAAGTAAGTAAGTTACTTACTTTATCAAATAATTTTATAAGATTTTTAAAAAACGAAATTTTGTTCAACTCATAAAACTAATTAAAAATTAATTTATTAGAAATAACATCAAGATTTTTCGGAAAAATTTTTCGTTTTCACCACCTTATAGTAGTTCCAAAGAGTTATTAAGTGATTTCAGTCTTATATGATTATTTTTATTTTCCAAAGAGAATTATTAACATTCTGGAAATTTTTTTTTTTTTAAACCTGTTGTCAGGTAAACCATTCATTCAAATACAGAATTGGTAACGGATTGGCATTCATGATTATGAAGGAAAGATAAATGGATCAATGTTAATTCCGGCAAATTAAAGTACTTTTAAAGTAATAAGTGCTTTAATACTATTTAAAAGTTAATTTACTTTAAAGTATTTTAAAGTAAATTAACTCTTAAATAGTATTAAAGTATTGATTGGGAAAATTAAAACCGTACAATCTAAGCTATTTTTAATTTTTTCAAAAGATGAATTAAAAGTGTTATTTATCTTTTTTGGGAGATTGTTGAACGATTGAATTTAATTTCTATGCATTATTTCTACCTCCTAATATCACTCTATCTTCCTCTCCCTCTCTCTCTCTCTCCTCTCTCTGTTCTCTCTTTCCTAGATCTATGTAAATCAATGATCAGTTGTAGTTCAATCTACTAAAATACCGGATCATCTTTCAGACTGTAGCATGTTTGTACAATATAGCACAGTGCCATATTTATTTATTTACCTGTGAAATAAACAGGTAAATATATGCCAATATTTTCAAGTCTTAAATATTTCAATTCATTTATTTTTGAAACCTTAATTTTTCTCCAAACATACTTTTTCCTTTTGCAATAATTTTCAAATTTAAATTTGTTTGGATAATTCAACGTAAAAAAAAAGTATTCTATTTTGTGTTATTTTCAAGTTCGAGTTTTCACACAAGCAATAACTAACAGTAATTTCAACGGGAAAAAATGATTTGTCTGTAGGCCAATGATAATATGAAAGTATCCAATATCAGTATTACTCTTATTTACCGTGTTATCATTAATATCACATAAATGATGTACTTCCACTCAAATTGCTTACAATTATTTTTATAATATTTTTAAAATTTTGAAAAATAAGTATAAACGTGATATAGTTTACTAGCATCAAAATATAAGATCTGCTTTTTTTTCTTCGTTTGCTTAACGACGACCGAATCGTAATACTCCCGGCACTGATCGTTTCCCGAAACGTAGAACGCCCGGTATATCATCATTACGTTTACCAAATCTTAGTACACCCGGAATGTCTCCTTCCCTTTTACCGAATCTCAATACTCCTGAAAATCATGCGAATAAAGAAATACTTGAAAAGCATGGAATTACATTATTACAACTAATTACGTACTCTACAATATAACTAACCGGGTATATCCTTTTTCTCATAACCATTTTCATTAAACTGCATTATATTCGGTAAAGGATTTCTGTAAACAGGATCTGGATCGTAATCACGTTTCCCGAAACGAAGTACACCTGGAATGTCCCCATAATCTGAAATTTTGAATTTCATCTTCCTCTTATTAAATGGAAGCCTTCAATCATTCTATATTAATAATTATCACTTTCTTCAGTAGTTACGATTTATCATCTTAATATAATACAGTAGAAGGCTGTTTTTGTTCCTTACGGTTGACATTATCTCGATGTTGACGATCAAATCTAATATCAACCTTTAACAAGACAATTGTCACTCTTTTTTTGCTTTGCAGAAACGCCAATTTCATCCTTTTGACCCTCTCCAGTGGCACTATTTATTTTATTTATATTTTCAATTCTTTGTTTAATTTATTAAAGGTGATGGTAGTTATATTTAAAATATTATAAACTTATTGAGATCAAAATGATGATAAGTTTTCAAATTTTTTGGAGCGAAACTATCAAATAGAAATATTTTGAAAGGTTAAAAGGAATTAAATAGAATTAAATTTGTGCAGCACAATTGCATTTTGCTATCTTACCAAAAATACTTTTTTACTGAGAACATATTTTGATAAATGATTAATTTGTCACATCTCCAAATATGTCTAATCTCCTACTTTTTCTATAGCAACTATAAGTTTGCTTTTTTGGAAAAAAAAAGGTAAATCATCCCACACTTTGAAATGTCCATTTCCATCTTATTTATTATATTTAAGTTTACGATTAAATGTTTGGTTTCAAAGGTAAATTTTAAAAATTTTAAAATTGAGCTAATAGCAAAAATGCGAGCATGCATGAAATAGATGAGGGATTATGCTTAATTTCAGAGCAAATAAGCTTCATCAGAATAAGGACATCATCATTTAGCTATTTTTTAGAATAAAAATTGGGTTAGGATTTTTGCGCATTTGTCAGAAAAAAAAAACGAAAATAAAGCCATTCAAAATCAATGAGTTGGCATGTATAACTAAATTTTGATACTGAAATAATTTAAATTACTTATAGTACAGATAATATTGATAATGAATACTGATTAAATGAGATGATATGATATGAAAATGTAACCTCGTTTAATTAATAACTCATTGCCGACAGGCTCGTATGTATCATGAAGTGGCCTGTAGGCATCTGAAAAAATAATTATTGAATTGCTGAAATTTCTAAATGGAGATTTTTCCCTCATATAATATTATCATATTCCATATGTTTTTTCTCTAAGCAAATAATTTTTCAAAAATTTAAGCACAAAAAGATGTGTAGAATAATGCATTTAAATGCGTTGGAAGGAATGATATTGAAATGAAATGATAATGAAATCAAATGATAGTCTGTTAATGATTTTGAAATAAAATCATATTCTGTTAATGATATTGAAGTGAAATGATATTCTGTTAATGATCATACTCAGCTAACAATCAATTAAAGAAATTAACATGTCCATGAGAGTAATGAAATATTAATAGTAAATAAAAAAAAAGAAAATTTTTCTAAAAATTTTGGAACATTTTACGATGAAAAATTATTTTTCAGGCAAAGAATCCATGGATCACACAGAAATTGTGCTATGCTTATGATCTGAAATAGATCTCAATCGCATCCTAACAGATAAATAATTTTTATTAAATTCAGTAATAATACGAAAAACTGTTCGATGTAAATTTCCCGCTAAATTTTCAAATTTATGAAAATAAATGCTAAAGAAAATTTCTAAAAAATTGCTAAAATATAATGGTAGCAAAATAAATGATAAAATATGCAAGAATGAAGTCAAATGGGATAGTTTTTATTTTTGTTAAATATAAAAAGAAAGATATCTTCTCGAATAAAAATTATGGTTTTAAATAGGCTAACTCAAAAAAAAAGTATTAGGAAATTAGCAATGACAAAAAGAATTTCATCATTTTGTGAGCTACCACAGAAATATGTGAAAATGATCATGAACTAGACGAAAAGTTAGAAATTATTAAGCTTACTAAATTTAAAGTCCTAATTTGAATTTCAAATGAAAGCAAAATTTTTTGTTGTTATCATTTAAAATTTAATTAATATGCTGTTTCAATAATAAGGCTTCATTGAAATTGAATAGAAGAACTCATTTTTCCACGATCAATGATATATGAGCAATCTATTTTGCTCTTATTCAATCAAATGTTTGAAATAATTTTACTCATTGGTATATTAGTCTGTAAAGCAGGAAATTAAAAATGAAATTGATACGTCTCTTATCTGAATTTCGGAAATTGCCTTTATTTAATCATTGGTATCATTTCATTTCCAATTTAAGTATCTTCATAATAAGAGAAATTGTTTTTATTTTTAGTTAAAATTATATCAAAAAAATATTTTTTTCTTTGTACAAATAAGTTATATTTTTTGGAAATTAATATCATTTAATGATTGGCTGCAACGGAAGTGGCTATCTGCAATCATGATGCATTCAACCGTAATGCATGTAAAATTTGCAGAATTGCAAAAGTTGCAAAACACGAAAGTGTTGTTGACATAGTTTGTGTCAATTTTGATTAATCGATCCACTAGATATATCATGCTAGGATGATTCTTGTTTAGTAATTAAGTGCTAAGTAATTAAGTGGTTTTCTTCTTACATATCTTTTCATAAAGTGGTAATGTTTTTTTAAAATGTTCGCGTGGCGCTTTTTTTAACTTCATGTAGTGAATTCCTTTACAGATAGCAAAACTTGTGACCTATCTAATTTCACCTAATCTTTACCCAAAATCTCCTAGTTATTTCTTTATGTATTCAACTAACAATAATTATAATACTTGAATTAATTAGTCGGAAATTTGACTTACTCGAATTATCCAATTGAACATATAAAGTTGTCGTTGTGGTTGCTGTGATGGTGACAATGAAAATTACTAGCTTTACCATATGCATCATCCAACCTGTTGTTTCCATAATTGCAATGAAAATAATAAATATTTAAGTATTGAGTTGAATCTTTGTTAATCCAGATTACTAGAGCCAAGCAGAAATGAGCCCCGAAAGTTAAAGTTCCTCTCAGAATGCCAAAATGCCTATAGTCTGTCTTTAATTCTTTCGTTTTACCTTCTTCTTTTTCACTCTTTTACTCTTCTTTTCTTTTTCGGATTTCTTTCACTTTTTCTTGATTGGAACAAAATTATGAAAAGATCCCGCCTCTAGGGCTATTAGGTCTAGTGATATCAGTTTGATTGTCAACAACGAATTCTTCGTTCCACCCCGTCATTTCATTGATTGGATTTGATGGATGGGCCTGAATGGGTGGGTCTAGATCGACAGGCCTAGATGGATCCATTGGGAAACATATTCATAATAATTCTAAATATTTATCTCACTTTCAAGATGAAATTTTGAAAATTAATGTGAAATTTCTTTCCACATACTCTTTGACCTCAAAAGTAATAGACGTTATCTCATTGAATTTGAGAATACAACAAAAATTAAACAAAACGTAATTTTATTTATTCCCTTTACATCACATTAAGCTTACAAATTTTAATGTTACAATAAAAAATTCACAACTTTTTTGTAAACCATTTCACTACCAGAACTATCACACATTATTTGCATATATTGGATTATCTTTTTGATAAGATAAGAAGACAGATAGAAGACTTTCGAAAGATTTCGAAGTTTAACGCAATGCAAAAATAAAAATAATGGTAAATAATTTTGGAAATTTTTTTTTCAAAGAGATTGAATGAAGTATTATGCTATGACAAACAGCGCTCAATCTATCAGAAAGGGAATGAAAACTTGTAAAACAGATTATAAAAGCGCTTTCGTTCCCAGTTATATCACACCAAACTTTTGCGCCCTTGTACAATGCATAGAGTATATTTATGTTTTTTTTAAAATGTTACTTTGCATTAGTGCTATAATTCAATTGTTAAGAAAGAATTTAACAAATTCTCTTGAAAGTGCTTTTGTTGACATCCGTTTTAATATTAGCCCAAATTTCGAAATTTAATTTATTGTTCCTTTTGAAGAAAAAAGACTAGAAAAAAGTAGCTCTTGTTGGCCATAAATTCTTTTCCTTTTTTGGCTTATGCGATTTACTACGAGGAAATAGAGGAGGACATGATGTAATAATTGATAAAGCAATTTACTTCAATCCATAAATGATATGCTCATATGTATTTTGAAAGAAGTGTGCAAAAAAAATCTCGCTAAAAAATTTAAATTCGTTGACACATCTAATTAACAAAATGTTAATTAAAATACACGTCTAATTAAAAAAAATAGTGTCCGGGTCATTATCAGTAACAGTAGAATCGTCATTAAGTAAAACTGTTTTTCAATAATTATAATAATAACATCAACAACCAACCATTTAGGTTCACTGTCACAAGCTCAACAATTTGTGATCATCCGATCGTTTATTAATGGCTACAAGAATTGATAATTATTTTAGAATTTCAATTATGTTTATGAAATTTTTTTTTAATTGTACTTACCGTATCATCCTATTAATTAAAATTTGTTTCTACTTTTGTTTGTGAGAAATTATCAGCAACAATATGAGGAACTTAGCGATTTTGAAACAAAACTGAACTTCAATTACTCCACAAATTATCAACTACTAAGTTAAGCTTAGGCAATTAATTATTTCTTTACTTATTGTTACCTATCAAATCCGTTTCAAACATATCGCTTGAGTGAACAATTCCCTTCTCTACCACATTAAAATTGCTCTTACAACAATTTGTATCTTCAATAATAAGCTTGGATATTGATAAACGATAAATTCTTTGCTCCACTCAAAGCTTCATTTCATTGGTGTTATTTTTTTCCCAAAAATATTTCAAAATTATTTTGAAAATTTCTGTCATATCTCTTTTTTCTTCAACAATTTTCAAATTGTTGAAGAAAAAATCGACCATTTCGAAGAATTTTGCATTTTGCATTTTACAATTAAAATAGGTCGATACTTTTTTAAGGAATTTCTAAATAATTTTAAATTCCCTTCTATATTTTAGAATATTTGCAGTGGTAATTATTAGCGTGCTTTATTCTAAACTTCATTATTTAGTTTCAAATTCAATCCTATTCTATCATTTCAAAAAAAAAATGACGAAAAAAACCGTTCATTACTTTATAATGAAGGTTTTGGTTTTTCAGAATTCAATAATCAGAACAAAAAAATAAATTTCAAACAATTTCCATGTATTGCTTCTTTCAATTTATTCGCAAAAAAAAAAGAAAGGAAAAGGAAAAATGCTACTAACTAATTTGTTTATTCTAATTTATCGCAAATTTATTCTTATCTGAGTAATACAATAACATGTTTTTTTATTAAATAAACAATGAAAATTTATTCATATAATGTGATTAAATGATGGATTTTAGTTTAGCTCAAATTCAAGCATGACATAAATACTATTGTCAACTGATGGATACTTTTGACAGTTTGAGCTATGATAAAAAAAAAAAAAAAAAAAAAAAAAGGCGAGATAAAATGGATAATTAAAAAAAAGAGACTACTTTCTAAGACTAAGTCGAAAACAATTTTTTTTTTCTAGTCGTATTTCGAAAGACAAATAATATTAATTGGACAAAAAATAATGCTTCATTATCAAACAAATTGACTGAAAGATGGTTCATTAAATGTATGAAAATCAAATATTTCATGGGAAATTTAATATTTCCAATTTTCGTTTTCTTTTTTTTAAAATATTAAATCTATAATGTAAACTGAAACCAAAGTCAATTTCTATGTTAGGCTATTTTCATAAATAATGCCATAAATTCTCACACAGCTTTTCCTCGGATGAAATACTAATTGTTTTTTTCTTGGCAATGTAAATTATGTCACGAATCATTTAATTAATTACAAACATTTAAGAAAAGTTATTTATTACTGCCACATATCTATTTAATCACACAGGTGTGTGTCATCAAAAAATGATTTTACAAATACGATGGATTTCAAATTTTCAAAATCTTTTCAAAAATTATCATTAAATCCTCCCCACCCACTCAAATTATTTTCATCAGTAACTAATGCAAAATCCGAGAATTGTCAGTGCAAAAACTTTGATATTTTCAAAATCTAAGATATAGAGGAACTCAAATTTAATTGTAATCGTCAATATGAAATAACTTGCTTTGACAACTACTAATTAGAGGTAAATAAAAAATGATTTATTCTTTCCATTCTAATGTTCACGCAATCTTTTAATGATAACAGTTCTCTTTTTTTTTTAGGTATAAAATATAATGAACATGCAATTGAAATAGTAAAATAAAGCTGAAGGTTTAGGTATGCAAAAGATTAGCAATCAAAAATATGCATTTTATCAGTTCCTGATAAGTTCAAATTTTCCAATGAAAAATTATTTCTTGAAACCAATGAAAAAGAGCAAAAAAGAAAATTTGATTAGTTTTTTTTCGATGCAATATCACCAATGAAATATGCAAAACGGTGTATGGAGGTAGTTGTGTACGGGAGTGTACGGCGGAGACAGTTGTGTACGGGAGTGTACGGAGATGGTTGTGTACGGGAGTGTATCGAGGTGTTCCATTCAATCCATCCATCCATCTATTTGTTAATATAATCCCCACGAGTAATTCCAATTTTATGCATATGTCATTTGCTTGACCACAAAAGTCTGAAAGACTTGTTTTTTTCCCTTATTATATCTAAAAAAAAAAACAAGCCTGAGAAAAAGAATTTAAACAAACCACTTGTTGTTTATACTTTTTGCACTGAAATGATCGCACAACGATATCATTATTATCACTAGAGTTATCATTTGACACAAATACTATTGCTGTAAATTAATTGATCAGAAGAAATCTGAATGCTAGTAATTCTGGAAGTGTAAATTTGAAGTTTATTATTACCCTTTAAAGAATTCATAACTTTTTCAATAAGCATTAAAAAGATTTAACAAATGATCATTGTTTGACATTGCCAAAACAAAATATTAATTAATCATTTTTCAATGACTAACAAAAAAGGCAATGTCAACTACTTCTTAAACTCCTTAAATTTTGTACTCTTTAAACTTTCTATCCATTCAGCGAAAGTTTTGAGTGAAAATATTTTTGTGTTTGATAAAATCTGCGCCTTTCAAATATTTGAACTTCTTTAAAACGAGTTTGGTTATTTAAATTTGTTGATTAAATACAATAATTTTCAAGGCTATATATTATGGTCTTACATTGTTTGTGGGAATATTACAATATCAACTGCTTATTTTCATTTATTCAATTTAGCAAAACATAAAAGAAATCATTTTTTGCACAAAATTGAGCATAGTCAACAATTTATCGAATATTTACAATTATTTAAAATGTCCAATTGTATATTCGAAACAACTGAAATAGTTGAGACAGTAAATCAAAAGATCATTCCGCAGTGTTACCGCAGTTCAAATTAGGATTTGTCATCTGTCTCAATTATTAGCAAATTCTACAGATGCTATGATAGAATTTGCTAATAGGTCTAATTGTTTAATTGGTAAAATTTGTCCAGACAAGATATTCGGGTCATTTGAACTTCAGTAACGATGGTCGATAGATCCGAAGGTTATCATGTGCTTGCTATTTGCAAGCTTTAGAATGTAACTGAGTGATTTACAAAACAAAAATTTCACTGAGACATTATTCAGCCTTGCAAACTTCGGCTTGCAATCGGTTAAACCAAGCGAGTTCTTAATATTCAAAATGAAGTTTAAAATTTCATAAGTTGCTAACTTGTAAAGATGCTAAGTAAATGACATTTTAGTCTTAAAAAATAAGCAACAAATGTATCAATGACGTAACAAAAAATTTGCATAAAAAGTGCAATTCAATGAAAATAGATCAAATTACAGCAATGCATGCATTATACTTGTATTTCTTCCAGTGCATGTCCACCAGCAGATAGGCCACTTAATGAATTAACTTTACCACTTGTCTGGGCCATTGCTGCTCGGCCATGTTTTGGACATGTTGGACTTACACCAACCCGCAATGATCCTACCGATGTTTTGTTTGTCATTGACAATAACGGTTCCTAAAACAGATTTGAGATTGTAAAATGCACAAAATTTTCAATTTAAAATATTCAAAATAATCAGTAGAAATTACAAAGTTCAATGATCGCAGTTTGCACCATTAACAAATCATTAGAAGTTGAAATTTCGATTCAAAAATTGCTTGAGAGACAGGAAAAAGTAAGTTGAAAGAAATAAATGAGATCTCAATACAACAAGTAATGTTGAAATTATCATGATTTAGTTATTCTAGCTTATGCTTTATGTCATACTGTAATTTCAGGATAAAATCCGATATGATCGGAAGGGATCCACTTTTTTTAAATGTACGAGCAATCAACAATCTGGAAAGAAACTTTTGACATTTCGATTGAAATCAAGAAGTAATTGAAGGTTAAGTGTGGTACTAATGAGGAGAAGGTATCTGAAAATATTTGATATTGATATACCTGCTCCTGGAAGTTACATTTAGTGACTAATGTATCTTTATGTGATGTATCATTGTAGTTCTGATAGGAACCCGTACGGCACGATTCAAATTCGTTCGTTTTAGAAGATGTTGAATCCAATGGTGCAGTCATTGAGTTCGTTATTGATGGACGTTGACTGAATGATGGAGGCGGTGGTGGTGACATGTAATTTAATTGCTGCAAAACTTACAATTATTCAAATTGGCACTTTAAAAATATTGAAATAAGCTAACATCCGAAAATGAGCTAACATTCGAATTTTCGGTAGATATTGGAAACTTTTTTTCTGAAATTTATTTTAAAACTTTATTTCATCTTCATATTACTTCAAGTTTTAGGCTAAAATTAATTTTAGAATAATGAATGATAAAAATAGACGCATTTGTTCAATGGTATTTATCCCATTGAAGTTAGCAAATTAAATATGACTGCAAGTCAACTAGTCCTTGTCATCTCACTGTTCAAATGTTTTCTAACTGTTGTTCAACTGTTTGACAATTAACAAGGAAAAGCATGCAAAGTAAAAAAGGATATCGTAGTACCCATTGAGAATCAGAAATGATAAAGCTCTTTCATTGACTGATAATCATGATTATCAAAATTCTATAATGAATTTTTCAATGATTTCAAAATTCAACTATTTCAGATGATCACAACAAACCTGTTGTCCAGTAACATTGTTCATATCGGTAGTAGCATTTAATTGGTAATTAGCCGAGTATGTTTGATATTGTAATTGCAACTTCTTCTTTGTTTCTTCTTTCTTAGTACACTACAAAAATGCATTGGGAAATATGTCAATTTCTTTACGAGGATTTAAGAGAGTTTTAAGGATTTAAGAGGTTTAAAGATTTAAGAGTTTAAAAGGTTGAAGAGGATTTAGAGAGATAAAATTTTGGCCTAGAATGTCTGCAGATCATCTGGCAAACATTCGTCTAAAAATTTAACAATAGTAAATTAAAGTAAGGTAATCAATAAGTCAAAGTAAGCTAATTCATAAAAATATACTTTGACAAATCAAAGAAAGTAAGGTTGATTCTTTTTCTTATTTATAGTTATTAAGGCAGAAAAAAAGATAAATTATCTTAATAATTCCAAATATTAAAAAAATTAAATGATAATTTTCTCAAATATGATTGTTATTTTGATCTCTTAATCAATAAATCTAAATTTAATTGATTTCAGAGAATTCTATTGTTTCACCGATCTAAACATGCAGAAAGTAAGAGAAGTTCAATACTTTATCCATTAATTAAAACTGTCGTCGTTTTCATGAACCAAATTTTAGTGATAGATCGATTTTTAAGAATTTGAAAACGAACCTGCCTGTAGAGGCCAAGGCCAATACATATATTGAGGAATAATAATCCACATCCAACAGCAACTGTAACCGATAACATTGTACTGTTTTGAGCTGCTTTTACAAATGGTGTTGGAGTTGTTGAAGTTTTATCAGAATTTGTCTCTCGTGAAGGAACTGAAATATCTTTTCATTTCTGTGGAAATGACCACCAGTCGGATATCCAAATGTTTCATTTAATCATTTACCGGTAGTTATATGAAGTAATTTTTTCTGTTGACTTAAATCATTCTTGTAATATATCCATTTATCCACCCCTGAACCATCCTTCCCTATCATGAAGTGACCAAAAAAATACCGTATCGTTCAATGTACAAATAATTCTCAATTTAGCACTGGAAAAAAAGAAAAAAAACGAAAAACAAACATGTAGTAAGTTTTTCGATAGATTTCGGAAGCGGAGTTGGAGGAAGAGGTGGCGGAGGAAATGGTTCATTAGCAAAGCTTGCATATGGTCTTACAGTGCCAAAAAATGAATCACGTTTGAAATGATTTGGAAGGAAATGATGTTCCTGAAATAATAAACTTTGTCGCATTTGAATTTTCAATTTATTTCAACACATTAAGTTATAACAAATTTTTATGGAAATTTTTAACTTTATGTTACAATTTTTGTTGATAACTCAAAACATACCTCAGGTACAGGTACTCCTTCTTTTCCATTAGCATGCAATTGTGGTACTAAACCATTCCAGAAGCCAACTTGAGCATTACGGTAATAGTTTTTCACTCGAGGTCTATCAGCTAAAAAATGATTAGTGACAAGCAATATGCTATAAGAGTTATTGTATTTCAAACAACACAACTTCTGGAAATGTATTATTATAGCTTTTAAGCAAAAACAACAGACGAAATAATTGTTCACCTAGATTCACATAGACGGATGTTTCTGACGTTTAACTTATTCTGCAGATGATACAAAAGAAGTGCGATACAATTTAAATTTTGAAAAGTTTTACAAGATAAAATTTAATAGTTCCAGCTGCACAAAAAAATTCCATTGATGAAAGTTTACTTACTTATTTCAAGATAAGGCTCACGATTTCGTTGTGTAAGTTGTGGCCAAGCAGCACTATGAAAACGTTCCGCAATCGGCGTTAAGGCTTGTAGTTGAACTGGTTTGGTTGGATCGCTTAAAAATGCAAATTATTGCTATGTGACACTAATTTCGTTATTATTTTCTGATGAATAAAAGTATCTAAATTAAAAAGCGGAAATCGCAAAACTTATTTCTTGTCCAAACATGCAATCATATTTCAAGATTTTTAAGATTTAAAATTTTAGAACATTAAGCAAAATAAAATCGTAAAAAAGTCATCGGTTTATACTTGATTTCGATGAATTATTTATTGCCTATTTCAGATTAATTTTACGTCATCGATAAACAGGAAATTTTTCGATGCAGAATAAAGATGTACCCAGATTTAATGAAATTTGAGATGTAGTGCATCATAACACGTGAGATCATTTGGTCCTCAGGTGTGAAGCCAGAATAAAGCTAAAACAAACTTGAAAAATTGAACATAAATCAATTATACAAATCAAAAAGTTTGGAAATGCATAAAAGATCTATTGGTCACTTTGAAAAGTAGAAAAAGTGGGACAGCAAAAAGCTCATGCGACAAATTAGAAAGGGAAGATGTAAAAGGTTACTTAGATTACATTCTTAAAATTTGTTATGCAAATTAGCCTGAAATTATAGTGAATTTAAGAATTGCAACTAACATCGTCGTCTTTATTAAGTGGATAACCGAAGATGTACGGTATGTGATCACCGGAAATCGAACCTCGAATACCACTTGCAATTGTCTCTTCCGCTGCATTCTTCGATTCATGAGCAAACAAAAACCTAAATAAAAACAAATTTTAAATTTCAAAATTGATATCAACTTCCAACCAGTAATATTCTTAGTTATTTCAAATATATATAGTTAGACTCTAACAAATAATCATAAATAATTTATTAGTGGATTGATTCGAACATTTTGTAAGTTAGTTAAATCCACGTGGTAGGCTGGAAGACTAATGAGATGAAGAAAAAACTAGGCTCATACATGAAAGTATTTGAAGTTTCCCTGTCATCGTCAATAGAATGTAGTCGAGCTGTTTCGATGAGCGGTGCGACGAAAAGAACATCGCTAAGCGCCGCAAGGACACCATTACGAATTGTTTTCGGATGATCCTTAAAGAGACATTCCGCTTCATTTACCCGTTATAATAAATATTTGAAATTGTCGCAAATATTTATTCCCAACGATAAAAGATGACGACATTTTGATTGATATTTTATTATAACTCAGATAGTTTTTGCATAAATTAGCACTAAATCCATCCGAATGTTATGATCGGACAATGATAAAAGTTTGGCAGATTTTGCATTCTTCATTTTAAAATGGTTAACAATATTTCACAAACAATTCAACACTGTTGAAATTTCCAACCTTTGGATTATCCCAATCTGTATATTCATTGATAAGTGCTGCCAAAATTTCTTTCCGATGAAAATCATAAAGATTTCTTATTAGAGTTCTGAAAATAACTATAATTTTTAAATAGCCTGAATATATTCTAAAAATGATTTCCGTAAATTCAACGAATTAAAACAAAGATTTCTTGCAATTTGCAAACCGAAAAATTTTTTCACGTTTCTCTTTGTCAATACCCAATCGTATATCATCATTTGGAAGCAGATGATGAGCCGGATTACTGGTCATCCCAACCAACAAATCCACATTACGGAATAATGACCCATATTGTGTTCCAAATAATGCTTCTGGTTTGTTCGGTACAACCTGAAATTTCATCCATACCAGTTCAAATAGTGTGACACATAAAAGTCATTCATACCTGTCCATCGACAATTGGCGCAAATCGCGAGAGAAATGTTGGTGTGGAAATTTTCCGCGCTGCTCGTGTAATATTTTGTGGTGAATGATCTTGCATACAACGTACGATACTTTCCGCACTTCTTTGTTCATACAAATGATGTTTTTTCTTGTCCACTTTTTCGATACACTGTAATTAGCGATTTTATAATTAGTTCACTTGGATTGGTCAAAGGTAGAAGTGGACATCCATCAGTTCTAAATATTCCGCCTGGTCTATGTAAAGATATTGATAGCATAGACTCAATTGATCGTAAATTATCATCCATTTCATCGAATTAATTGTAAACTTTTCAAATTCAAAAATCTACTTATTTGTATCTTAACTCACAAGTGAAAATTTCACTTCATTGTTTTCCCTTGTATGTCATTTAGGTTACATGATATATGATAAATAGGTGATGATTAATTCCTGTTTCACATGATGATTCACATGATGATTAATTCTGTTCGGTGGTTCGAAATGAAATAATTAAGCAATATGTCCTAAGATTTCACAAAAATGAAAATTTCTTATCATTATTAAGAAATCGACATTTCATTTCTAAATCATTTCATCTAATTAATCTAATAATCATTTAGCTTTGGGACCTTCAAATGTTCAGCAAGTTGAAAAAATGTTGATTGAGGATTTCTACTCATTGCCCATGGAGAAAGCGCAGAACCGTCTAGTAGAATTGCGCGTCGAAACATTCGATTATTGGGTTGAGTTATCGGAGAAGCCATCAGTAAAGAAACCTGAAAATTAGGTATGAAAATTAGAAAATTAAAATATGAAAACCTGAAAATATGAAAATTAGGTATGACTCATGAGAATTGTTGTAATGAAATATTTAAGCGTTTTGTAAAAATTTGCTAATTTTTGCTTTGGGTTTAAAAATGCAGCAAACAACTCACCAGGGATGCACCAGAACCCCATCCTAAGAGTGTGATCAAACTCGGATCACCTCCAAAAGCTGGTAAAATATTTGTAAGCATTTTTAGAGCTGCTACCAGATCTGATAAACCTGAATTACCGGAACAACTGGATGACTCACATCGACCCAGAAATCCTGAATTTAAATCGTTTATTGGAAAAGAAAACTATTAACAGCGTTTTTTAGCAGTTTTTTGGTTACAAAAATATTAGTTTTTGTTCAAACACATTATAGAGAAGTCGCAGGAAATGATTTTACCGAAAACGCCAAGACGATAATTAAGTGTAATAACGATAATTTGACCATATGATGCAAGTATGGTACCATTATAGGGATTACCACTATTCCAACCATATTCATCGCCGTGTACTACCACAAGAACCGGTAGCTGCTTTCGGTTCGAATCCGTATAGAAAGCTGAAACTTTTGTGGTACAAGAATTTTTCCCCAGTTTTTATAAAGTAACGAACTTTAATTTTGTCTAATTAACTGATGAAAATTGAATTGATCAAATTTTAATTCGAATTGAAAGAATTTAGAATTTAGAATTATTAAAATCTTTTCATGTTGACATCGAATCTCAAGTAAAATTTCTCAGTGAAATGAAGAGAATTTTCGTGATTTTAAAATTTTGACGAAAACATACAAATTCTCTCAGGTACGTATAAATTCATATGCAAGCAATCCTCAGATTGTGGCTTCAGTTTTGGCAATAATTTATGCATATGATCATAACGTTGCGCTGATGTCGTCTTGAGCGCTCTGGAAATGTAAAAGTGTTAGAGAATGTTCATGATTATTTTCAAGGATAAACTATCCTCTAAAGTGTTGTGATAATTACTCAGGTACATTGTTTGTGATTTTAGTCTATATGTTATTACTTGGATCGATCAAATAAAATTGTGAATTTAAATTTCACTGAATTAAAAAAGAAAAAACTTCTATTCTTCAATAAATGGAAAAAGAGTAGAGTAAAAATTTCTAGAATGAATGTGGTTTGCATATGTGTCGAATTAATTTGCCAATGTATGGGTATAAAATAATTATGAAATGAATAGACTAGCCTAGGCTGTTTATAAAGGCTTACATATGTTTAGGCTGTCTGTAACGAACGATGAGAAGAAGGTAAAACGTAAAACGCAAAAAAAAGATTTTCTCACTTCGTTTCAGCAAGCTCTGGAATTCCGGATTGTATGCAGACAGAAGACAAGCTATAAGCATCTTTCGGCATATGAGTCCACTTTGCCGCTGATATGGCCATATTGAAACGATACTGACAAAAACATTTTATTCATCACTTACATTCCAGTTTATGCTATCAAAAACTTGTGATGATAATTATAAAAATTGCTAAAAGCGCTGGAAGGAATTTGAAATACCTGTCCGGAAGGTGCGACACCATATGGTACCCCGAGATATTGTGCCACAGGTGGTAAATCGCCTGCATTTGGACTTACCATTTCACCTCGTAGCACACCAAATGTTGTAGTCACCGTTCGTATTCCGGAATCACATCTAGTAACAGCAATTTAAATTTTAGCTTTGTTTTACTGTAAAAAAGGATTTACTCACTTTATTTCAGCAACTTCCGGAATCCGGATTCCAGATCATTGGATAAATTAAAATTTTGTTTAATTTTGGATTCCAATTATTGCATATTCATCGAAATGAATGCTTTTTTTAAAATTCGACTATTTCAGTTCATTTTTAATTTCTCTATTTTCTTCCTTTTATTGCTGCTGCCATTTCATTTCTCTGTAAATCTTCCTGAAAACTTGATCCGAAATCCAAAAAAACCCATTCACATATGAGTAAATCTTCCTGAAAACTTGATCCGAAATCCAAAAAAACTCATTCACATATGAGTGGCCATTACTATTCCAGGCATAAAAGTTTTTTAGAATTAATTGAAATGTTTTTTAAGAAAAAATACTTTGCATATCATATTTTATAAAAAATATTTCAGTTGATTCTGAAAAATCCAACTATAAAATTACTAAAGAACTAAAAAATTGCCTGTAATTTCTTTTTTTAGGAAAAATGTTGAAAGTAAAGTTAAAGTCATCACTATACTTCAAATCAGCTTCCAATCAAATCAGTAAAAATTATTTCTTACAGTGATAAATATCTCTTCCGTATGTGAATTACTACCAGAGGTTAAGTTAGATATTGTCACTTCAAAATTGTTTGATTGTTATCAGTAGTGATAGTAGTGATGTATGTTA